TATACGTGCTAGTCATTCAGAAGAGTGTTTAACATGCTAGCAGGTCAGCGTTTACCTTATGCAAATGACTCTCTGCATGCAGCTTCAGCTGTCTTTGCTGTTTTTGGCTACATTGACAGTGAGCATGTGGGAGGAGAGAGTGTCCACAATGCTTAGATGATGCAGGTGAGTCACGAAAGCTTGCATATCTCCATTGCCAGCTTGTGTTGTCATGAACAGTGATGTCGAATTCGCTTACAGTTTACACTACCAGTCAGTAGTTTGGAATAATTGTTTTTTTATGTTTTTGAAATTAGTCTCTTAGACATTTACACAGGCTGTTTTTACCATTGATAATAACAAGAAATGTTTTTGAGCAGCAAATCAGCATTAGAATGATTTCTGAAGGATCATGTGACACTGAAGACTTGGAGTAATGATGCTGAAAATTAAGCTTAGCATCACAGGAATAAATGTTACAATATATTTAAATAGAAAACGGTTATTTAAAATTGTAATAATATTTCATAATATTACTGTTTTTACTGTATTTTTGAATAGTAGTGTATGCTTGTGTGGAGCTTGATTTGAACACTATTTGGCTTTATTTAGCACTAGCATTCTTACAGGTTGATATTATACAAAACTAATGTCATACAACTATGCTGGAATAGTTTGTGGAAAGGTGAATTTCTCCTGTTTTCACCATTAATAAGAAAAGCACAACTTAAGTTACCCACTAGTCAACACAGACCCAACTAGTGGCAGAACTATAGTCGATGTGTTGAATCAGAATCAAGAAGAGCTTTATTGCCACAAGGATTTTTTTTCTTTTGGTAATGAAGCTTCTGGTATAAACACAAACACAACTTTAAAAATATATGTAATATAGGTTATATAGTAATTAATAAAACATTAATGAACGAATTTTATAGTGTGTGTCTGTGTTTTTTTGGGGGGTCCAGTAAGTTTTTTTTTCAATGATTTTGTAAAGTCTCTTATGTTCACCAAGGCTGCATTTATTTGATCAAAAATACAGAAAAACAGTAATATAGTGAAATATTACAATTGAAACTAATATATTATATGTGTCTGTGTTTTTTTTGGGGGTCCAGTAAGTTTTTTTTTTCAATGATTTTGTAAAGTCTCTTATGTTCACCAAGTCTGCATTTATTTGATCAAAAATACAGAAAAACAGTAATATAGTGAAATATTACAATTGAAACTAATATATTATAAATTGTTTGAAATTATGAATAGAAAGTTCAATTAAAAATCATTTGAAATAGAAATCTTTTGTAACATTGCCTTTAGTCACTATCACTATACTGTCTTTATCAAATCAATACATCCTTGCTATAAGAATTAACTTATTAAAGATTTAATATATAAATTTTAATCTCTCTTATAGAGAGAGAGAATATAATGTTTTTCTCTATGCAGCTCTTTTCTATAAAGCAAAAGCCTGAGTTTTTCAAAAGTGTGCTGTTAAAAATACAGTTATTGAATTATAGACAGCTCCACAATATTTTCCATCTTTAACATGCAACCGTATTAAATCTATTTTTGTCTTCAGATATCATTCATATGCTGCCAATTCCATCCAAGTGCACTTTGACCTTTCAACCTATTGACCCCAGCAATATTTTTCTTCAATATTCCAGCACAGCAGAGAGTGATAAAAATGAAATTTTCACACCCATATTTCCAATACGTGCAATGTGTGTGCACATGAGGTCAAAACATCAACTCCAACACAGTAAGAAAAGAAAACTCTCCCTGGTGCCGCTTGCAAATCGAATCGATCAGGCTCGACTTCTATAAATAGAATCCATAGCCGCACACTCGAGTGGGCAGGCGGCCTTCGGCGGAACTGGCAGATCAATCCTTACAAGTCCAAAAGATCAGTAAAAGCCAGTTAAGTTCGCACAAGTGCTCGGCAGGAGTTGAGCCGTGTGGCCGTGCGGTGTTGCGGTAATGAATGCATGTGTTTGTGGGTGTTGAGCACTGTGGCGTGGGCTTCCAGTGGGCGTTCAGAAGGTTTTTAAGAGGCTATATGTCAATGGGATGCATTCTCATTAAATCTGCTGCTATTTCTGTGGAGATATGAATTAATTCTCTTTTTTTAGATGGATAGGTACATTTAGATGTATTTTATACTGCAATTCCAGAAGTTACAGAAGTAACTTTTAGACACAATATTTTCTATGGTTTTGACTGAATTGGTTTAGTGAATGATTCATTGACCCCCTTGAGACAGCCACTTGATTCGGTACGTACCTCGGTTTTAATGTCATGGTTTGGTGCGGTTTTCAGTACAGTATGGGGGCATTATTAAACAGGTGCTTACTGAACAAATTGTGGCTCTGTCTTTAAAAAAATTCAGTTCAGTCTTTATTTCCATTAACATTTCCTTAAGGATAAAAAAATCGAACTCAGTTAATGCTGTCAACTCTAGAGACCCCTATTTATTGCACATTACTATAATATTAAAGGTTACAATTAATAACAGAGCACAAACAATTAAATTCAATTCCT